GGTGCGGGGGCTGTGCGTGGGACTCCCAGGGAGGCCCGGGGTTCAGGGAGGACTCCTTCCAGGTGCGGGGGCTGTGCGTGGGACTCCCAGGGAGGCCCGGGGTTCAGGGAGGACTCCTTCCAGGTGCGGGGGCTGTGCGTGGGACTCCCAGGGAGGCCCGGGGTTCAGGGAGGACTCCTTCCAGGTGCGGGGGCTGTGCGTGGGACTCCCAGGGAGGCCCGGGGTTCAGGGAGGACTCCTTCCAGGTGCGGGGGCTGTGCGTGGGACTCCCAGGGAGGCCCGGGGTTCAGGGAGGACTCCTTCCAGGTGCGGGGGCTGTGCGTGGGACTCCCAGGGAGGCCCGGGGTTCAGGGAGGACTCCTTCCAGGTGCGGGGGCTGTGCGTGGGACTCCCAGGGAGGCCCGGGGTTCAGGGAGGACTCCTTCCAGGGTGCGGGGGCTGTGCGTGGGACTCCCAGGGAGGCCCGGGGTTCAGGGAGGACTCCTTCCAGGTGCGGGGGCTGTGCGTGGGACTCCCAGGGAGGCCCGGGGTTCAGGGAGGACTCCTTCCAGGTGCGGGGGCTGTGCGTGGGACTCCCAGGGAGGCCCGGGGTTCAGGGAGGACTCCTTCCAGGTGCGGGGGCTGTGCGTGGGACTCCCAGGGAGGCCCGGGGTTCAGGGAGGACTCCTTCCAGGTGCGGGGGCTGTGCGTGGGACTCCCAGGGAGGCCCGGGGTTCAGGGAGGACTCCTTCCAGGTGCGGGGGCTGTGCGTGGGACTCCCAGGGAGGCCCGGGGTTCAGGGAGGACTCCTTCCAGGTGCGGGGGCTGTGCGTGGGACTCCCAGGGAGGCCCGGGGTTCAGGGAGGACTCCTTCCAGGTGCGGGGGCTGTGCGTGGGACTCCCAGGGAGGCCCGGGGTTCAGGGAGGACTCCTTCCAGGTGCGGGGGCTGTGCGTGGGACTCCCAGGGAGGCCCGGGGTTCAGGGAGGACTCCTTCCAGGTGCGGGGGCTGTGCGTGGGACTCCCAGGGAGGCCCGGGGTTCAGGGAGGACTCCTTCCAGGGTGCGGGGGCTGTGCGTGGGGACTCCAGGGGAGGCCCTGGGTTCAGGGAGGACGCCTTCCAGGTGCGGGGGCTGTGGGGCTGTGAGTGGGACTCCCAGGGAGGCCCGGGGTTCAGGGAGGACTTCCTTTCCCAGGTGCGGGGGCTCGGGCGTGGGACTCCCAGGGAGGCCCGGGGTTTTTTCAGAGGGGACTCCTTCCAGGTGCTGAGGGCGGTGCGGGGGACTCCCAAGGGAGGGCCCGGTGGTATCAGGGAAGGACTCCTTCCAGTGTGCGGGGGCTAGTGCGTGGGACTTCCCAGTAGAGAGGCCCGGGGTTCAGGGAGGCCTCCCTACCGGGTGCGGGGGCTCGTGGCGTGGGAACTCCCAGGGAGGCCCCGGGGTTCAGGAGGACTCCTTCCAGGTTCTGGCGGGATGGGCGTCGTGCGTGGGACTCCCAGGAGGCCCGCGAGGTTCAGGGAGGGCCTCCTGCCGGAGGTGGCGGGCTTGGCTGTGCGTGGGACTCCCAAGGTGAGGCCTACGGGGTTCAGGGAGGACTCCTTCCAGGTGCGGGGGCTGTGCGTGGGACTCCCAGGGAGGCCCGGGGTTCAGGGAGGACTCCTTCCAGGTGCGGGGGCTGTGCGTGGGACTCCCAGGGAGGCCCGGGGTTCAGGGAGGACTCCTTCCAGGTGCGGGGGCTGTGCGTGGGACTCCCAGGGAGGCCCGGGGTTCAGGGAGGACTCCTTCCAGGTGCGGGGGCTGTGCGTGGGACTCCCAGGGAGGCCCGGGGTTCAGGGAGGACTCCTTCCAGGTGCGGGGGCTGTGCGTGGGACTCCCAGGGAGGCCCGGGGTTCAGGGAGGACTCCTTCCAGGTGCGGGGGCTGTGCGTGGGACTCCCAGGGAGGCCCGGGGTTCAGGGAGGACTCCTTCCGGGTGCGGGGGCTGTGCGTGGGACTCCCAGGGAGGCCCGGGGTTCAGGGAGGACTCCTTCCAGGTGCGGGGGCTGTGCGTGGGACTCCCAGGGAGGCCCGGGGTTCAGGGAGGACTCCTTCCAGGGTGCGGGGGCTGTGCGTGGGACTCCCAGGGAGGCCCGGGGTTCAGGGAGGATTCCTTCCAGGTGCGGGGGCTGTGCGTGGGACTCCCAGGGAGGGCCCGGGGTTCAGGGAGGACTCTTCCAGGGTGCGGGGGCTGTGCGTGGGACTCCCAGGGAGGCCCGGGGTTCAGGGAGGACTCCTTCCAGGTGCGGGGGCTGTGCGTGGGACTCCCAGGGAGGCCCGGGGTTCAGGGAGGACTCCTTCCAGGTGCGGGGGGCTGTGCGTGGGACATCCCAGGGAGGCCCGGGGTTCAGGGAAGGACTCCTTCCAGGGTGCGGGGGCTGTGCGTGGGACTCCCAGGGAGGCCCGGGGTTCAGGGAGGACTCCTTCCAGGTGCGGGGGCTGTGCGTGGGACTTCCCAGGGAGGCCCGGGGTTCAGGGAGGACTCCTTCCGGGTGCGGGGGCTGTGCGTGGGACTCCCAGGGAGGCCCGGGGTTCAGGGAGGACTCCTTCCGGGTGCGGGGGGCTGTGCGTGGGACTCCCAGAGGAGGCCCGGGGGTTCAGGGAGGACTCCTTCCGGGTGCGGGGGCTGTGCGTGGGACTCCCAGGGAGGCCGGGCGTTCAGGGAGGACTCCTTCCGGTGCGGGGGCTGTGCGTGGGACTCCCAGGGAGGCCCGGGGTTCAGGGAGGACTCCTTCCAGGTGCGGGGGCTGTGCGTGGGACTCCCAGGGAGGCCCGGGGTTCAGGGAGGACTCCTTCCAGGTGCGGGGGCTGTGCGTGGGACTCCCAGGGAGGCCCGGGGTTCAGGGAGGACTCCTTCCTAGGGTGCGGGGCTGTGCGTGGGACTCCCAGGGAGGCCCGGGGTTCAGGGAGGACTCCTTCCAGGTGCGGGGGGCTGTGCGTGGGAATCCCAGGGAGGCCCGGGGTTCAGGGAGGACTCCTTCCGGGTGCGGGGGCTGTGCGTGGGACTCCCAGGGAGGCCTCGGGGTTTCAGGGAGGACTTCCTTCCAGGGTGCGGGGGCTGTGCGTGGGACTCCCAGGGAGGCCCGGGGTTCAGGGAGGACTCCTTCCAGGGTGCGGGGGCTGTGCGTGGGACTCCCAGGGAGGCCCGGGGTTCAGGGAGGACTCCTTCCAGGGTGCGGGGGCTGTGCGTGGGACTCCCAGGGAGGCCCGGGGTTCAGGGGAGGACTCCTTCCAGGTGCGGGGGCTGTGCGTGGGACTCCCAGGGAGGCCCGGGGTTCAGGGAGGATTCCGTCCAGGTGCGGGGGCTGTGCGTGGGACTCCCAGGGAGGCCCGGGGTTCAGGGAGGACTCCTTCCAGGTGCGGGGGCTGTGCGTGGGACTCCCAGGGAGGGCCCGGGGTTCAGGGAGGACTCCTTCCGGTGCGGTGGGCTGTGCGTGGGACTCCCAGGGAGGCCCGGGGGTTCAGGGAGGACTCCTTCCAGGTGCGGGGGCTGTGCGTGGGACTCCCAGGGAGGCCCGGGGTTCAGGGAGGACTCCTTCCAGGGTGCGGGGGCTGTGCGTGGGACTCCCAGGGAGGCCCGGGGTTCAGGGAGGACTCCTTCCAGGTGCGGGGGCTGTGCGTGGGACTCCCAGGGAGGCCCGGGGTTCAGGGAGGACTCCTTCCAGGTGCGGGGGCTGTGCGTGGGACTCCCAGGGAGGCCCGGGGTTCAGGGAGGACTCCTTCCAGGTGCGGGGGCTGTGCGTGGGACTCCCAGGGAGGCCCGGGGTTCAGGGAGGACTCCTTCCGGGTGCGGGGGCTGTGCGTGGGACTCCCAGGGAGGCCCGGGGTTCAGGGAGGACTCCTTCCAGGTGCGGGGGCTGTGCGTGGGACTCCCAGGGAGGCCCGGGGTTCAGGGAGGACTCCTTCCAGGTGCGGGGGCTGTGCGTGGGACTCCCAGGGAGGCCCGGGGTTCAGGGAGGACTCCTTCCAGGTGCGGGGGCTGTGCGTGGGACTCCCAGGGAGGCCCGGGGTTCAGGGAGGACTCCTTCCAGGGTGCGGGGGCTGTGCGTGGGACTCCCAGGGAGGCCCGGGTTCAGGGAGGACTCCTTCCCGGGTGCGGGGGCTGTGCGTGGGACTCCCAGGGAGTCCCGGGTTCAGGGAGGACTCCTTCCAGGTGCGGGGGCTGTGCGTGGGACTCCCAGGGAGGCCCGGGGTTCAGGGAGGCCTCCTTCCAGGTGCGGGGGCTGTGCGTGGGACTCCCAGGGAGGCCGGGTTTCAGGGAGGACTCCTTCCAGGTGGCGGGGGCTGTGCGTGGGACTCCCAGGGAGGCCGGGGTTCAGGGAGGACTCCTTCCGGTGCGGGGGCTGTGCGTGGGACTCCAGGGAGGCCCGGGGTTCAGGGAGGATTCCTTCCAGGTGCGGTGGGCTGGTGCGTGGGACTCCCAGGAGGCCCGGGGTTCAGGGAGGATTCTTTCCAGGTGCGGGGGCTGTGCGTGGGACTCCCAGGGAGGCCCGGGGTTCAGGGAGGACTCCTTCCGGGTGCGGTGGGCTGTGCGTGGGACTCCTAGGGAAGGCCCGGGGACCTGAATGGAGGGCCTGCATTTAGGAGTGAGTTCCTCGAATCAACAGCAGTCTTCCAAAAGCCCCAGGGCGGTGACACGTGCCATCCCATACTTGGGTGGCCCATTGTTTTTTTAGTAGGTGGAGATTCAGCAAAGTTTCTTCTGAGCATGGGACAGGGCGGTGTGCCTGGGGCTTTTCACAGTAATGTTAGTTTAGATCGAAAATGAATGTGTCTCCATTACGCACAACACGTCACCTTGGCTGAGCACCTAGGCTGTCCTGATCCTTGTCCTGGGCGCTGAAGTCAAAGGCAGGCCTTGGATGCACTTGAAGGGCTCCCGGGCCCTTGTCAGCTCCCCTGGGAAATACAGGACCTTACGGAGAGGCTGCCGGGGAGAGCGCAGGATGGCCCGGGGTAGATGCTGGGATTTGGACGCTTGCCTCCAGGTTGGGGGTGGAGAGACCTACACCATCGGCATGCAGTTCGCGCCTAGTCGGAGAGCTGGGGAGGAGGAGATCCTGATCTACATCAACGACCATGAGGACAAAAATGAAGAGGCGTTTTGCGTGAAGGTCATCTACCAGTGAGGGCTTGAGGGCGGCGGCCTCCCTGCCAGCCCTGCTGGGATCCGTCTGTGCCCCTGCTGCTCTGCGGGCCGCCCTCTCTGCCTCTGCGTAGCCTCTGACCTCAGGGCCCACCGGGCTGACCTGTGCACGTGGCGGAGGAAGCAGAGACCGTAGCACCTGCGTGCAGTGTCGCTGCTGCCAACACCCAGCAGTCCTGGGTTCCGTGAGCATGAATTTGTGGCAGCGGCCCTGGCTCTGGTGCTGCAATGCACGCACGTGGGACCCACGTTATTTCTGTTGCTCAAAATATATTTTATGAATCATTCTAAGTGACAAAATCATGTTTTTCTTACTGGATTTTGTACACACATAATCTGTTATTTGCTATGCAATATTTTATGCTGGTGTTATATCTTTTTTAAATTGTTGAACAAGATACTAAACTTTTACACGCCTTCCCTTGGCAGTTTTCTTGATTGTTCTCTGCTGGCGCAGTGTTAGAGGCTTTCTGTCTACAGCACGAGGCTGGCTTCTCCAGCCAGGTGGCCCAGGCCCTGCGCCCTCACGGAGAGGCCACTCAAGCCTGACCCAGGTGGGGGCTGAGACTGCGGCTCTGAGTTGGCAGAGGTCGGGGTGTGCATGTGCGGGGGCTGAGGGTCCCCTGCCTGAGTGGAGGGCGGGCCGCACCCAGCAGCGGTTGCAGAGAGCGCACGGCCTGCTGGCTTTTGCAGTGAGGCACAGTCCTCGTTTGTGGATGTCAGTCTCGGCAGGTGGCCTCTGCTGCCTCTGCATGCTCTGATCCTGATGCAGTCACTGTCCCCAGAGAGAAATTTCACAGGCACTGTAGTTGGACCCTGAAGGTCAGAGCTGTGGCCTTTTCCTGCGTCCGTGCCAGGGGCAGATGGTGAGTGGAGACACCTCCCTGGGCAATGTGTGTGTACCTGAGTGCTGCTTCTCAAGAGACATGCTGCCATCCCTTCCCACAGACTGTGTGGCTGGACAGGATTGGCCAACACAGTTTTCTTTTGAGAGAGTTGGATTTTCTCATAGGCAGGCGCTAGTGCTGAGTCCTAGGCAAGGGAACAACTTTCAGAAGTCCAGTCCTCATGGAAGAGGCTCCTGGAGATCCAGGAAGTCACCTACCGGTTCCATCCAGCCCTGCCCTGTGGGGGAGAGTCTGACGAGCCCTACAGATTGGGCCCAGTGTCCGGCCTGTGCTTGCCGGATGCCCATGCAGAAGCAGGAGCTGCAGCAGCGAAGGAGATCCATCGACGGGCTCGAAAACCTCCTGCGGACGTGTCCGTGTAGCTTTTGCAAAGCTGCAGTCTCCCTTCTTCAGAGTGCCCTAAGGTGACATTAGGGCTGCTGGTGACATCCATTACAGACCACGGCAGTCATTGGTTCACTCCTCACTCCTTCATCTGGTACCACATGCCACCTGTGGTCTCCACCCTCTCACAGGCTCAGGAAAGTAGGGAAGGCGCACGGTGCCCGGGGCGCTCAGCTTGGAGTGGGAAGGAAGACGTGCAGCCTCCCACGGAGGATGGAGGTTGGCAAGGCTTCCCACAAGTGGGACTGCGTGGGTAAATAGGGGAGGGGAGGCCTCCTGGGCCGAGGTCTGTGAAAGCTGAGGCCCAAGGTTGGGGGCACGGTGTGCCCAGGGCCCCGAGGAAGGCTGCCAGGCTGGAGGCCAGGCTGAGAAGCTATCCCGGATGCAAAATAAGGTCCTTCAAGGCCACGAGGAGGACTTTTATCTGGGTCAAAAAGCATCAGTAAGCCTTTGAGAGGTTTGATGTGAGGATGGGTGTGGGGATGTGATCATATTTGCATTTGGGTGAGATGAGGCAATGATGTGGAGAGTTACCTGGAGTGGGCCCAGACGCAGGCAGCGAGAGGAGAGGCTGCTGCGGTAGTCGGGAGGCAGAAGATGGGGGAATGGACAGAAGGGGCTACTTTTTTTTTCCAGCTCTGAGTGGTTGAAAATCCAAAATAACACTGTCCTAAACAAGACGGCCATGAATTTCTCTCAAATTTAAAAATCCAGGTAGCTCGTGTAGGGCTGGCGTGGAGCTCTGCCATCACTGTACGCCTGTCTTTTTCTTACTGTTGTGCTGTTCTAAACACGTTACTCTCGCCTTGTATCCCAAGATGGCTGCTGCAGCCCCTGCCATCACCGCTCCATTCCAGTCAGTGGGAAGCTGGGGTGAGGGGCGTAAAGTTACTTTCTGGGAGCTGGAGCCACTTCTCTGCATGCATCCCTGCATTTGGTACCTGTGGTTGCCTAGGTTGGCCTCTGCCCACGCCAGAGCTGGCTTGGAAAGACTGAAGGAGCAGGGCAGAGGCTGGACTCCAGGGGAAGGAGTTATTTTAGGCGTTCCTGTGTCTTTTCAGCATGTGCCTGTGCGGGGTAATGATCTCTCTCTGGCTTCTCTCTGTCATCATCTGGGTTGGGGTGCTCCACGCCGCTTTCTCTTGAAGGCAGCCTCTGAGTTTGCATGCCTGTCTTGGGGCAAACACTGAACAGCCAGGGATCCCAGCTTGTCCACACTCTGTGCTGGCCTCAATGTTTGCAGCCACAATACAGAGCTGTCTCTTATAGTCAGATGTCCAGGACTGTGGTCACAGGGTCACCCGGCCAGAGCCTCTGAGCAAGCCGGGTGCCTGGCCACTTCGCTTGCAGCTCTGTGTGAAGCAAGTGCAGCTGCGATTTGCTGGGTCTTGTCACTGCAGGCACCCCCTGGGTGGCCCACACATTCCCTGTCCCTCCACCCATTCCCTATCCGCCCCACCCATTCCCTGTCTGCCCACCCATTCCCTGTCCCCCCACCCATTCCCTGTCTGCCCACCCATTCCCTGTCCCCCCACCCATTCCCTGTCCGCCCACCCATTCTCTGTACCCCCACCCATTCCCTGTCCCCTCACCCATTCCCTGTCCGCCCCACCCATTCCCTGTCCCCCCACCCATTCCCTGTCTGCCCACCCATTCCCTGTCCCCCCACCCATTCCCTGTCCCCCCACCCATTCCCTGTCCGCCCCATCTGGCTCTCGCCCTGCTCCTGCTGTTCCTGGCCTCGCCATTCTAGGGCAAGGCCTGCCCTGCTAGCCTGCCGCCTCCACAGTGCTGCTCCGCACTCATGAAGGATCCAGGGAATGGTGGCCACTGATGAGGGCTGAGTCGTGCGGGCGGGAGCCTCAGGCGGGATCCCAATAGGTGCCTTTAAAGTAATGTTGATGGATGTGATTATGAAGTTGCTATGTCCCATCTGTTCCCGCGTCTCGCTGGGCAGGGTGACCGGGACCGTTTTATCTTCCCCTCAGAAAACCTCGGCCAGGTACCTCGTACTGCAGGGGAGGCAGGGTCCTCGCTGCTCAGACGTGAGGCCTGAGCCCAGGTGAGCCAGGGAGGACTCGGGTGCTGGAGAATTAGGTGGACGAGGCAGGCGGGCCGGGGGCTGGGTCGCTTTCCCAGGCCCCTGGGCTGTTGGGCTGCAGGTCAATGAGAGGGCCTGGGCCAGGTGCCCCCGCATGCTACAGAAGCCACCCCAGCACTCTGATTTGCAGGACCCCACTCGCCTCAGGCAGGGATGTGCTTAGAGCCGTTGGTCCCACGGCCACATCTGTGGGCAGACAGTAGGGTGGGAGTGAAAGGTGTGCTCTGTGGGGACAGTGGATGCCATGGGTGACCAAGGCAGGTGACTTCTTGAGATGGTGGATAAGCAAGTGGGTCCTTCTGTGTTCCTAAAAGGTCTCTCCACCCTGCAGATGAGGGCACGGGTGGGATAAAGGTGACCCCTCCCTAAAGGTGGCAACCCTTGTTCTCTGCCATTTTCAGCGTGGGTCACATTCCTCAGCTCCTCACAGCTGTGGGAGGAGGTTGGGATTTGGAGCCTGTCAGAGAGGGCGCCCGTGCTTTCCCGGGCCGCCTTCATCTCTGCTGTGGCCACGCTGAGGCTGCCTCCTGCACTTCAGTCCAGCTCCTGCCTGAGGCGCTGGCAAACCCTAGACAGGCTCATCCTGCTGGGCCGGCCCAGCTCCGAGGAGGCACGCACGCACTCATGCAGCCCCGGCGCCTCCTAAAGGTATGGGGGCCCTGAAAGCCTCATTAGAGGCCTGATCGCCACTGCTCTCCTGGCCAAGCAGGGTTTGGTGGTGGGGGGCGGTGGGGGGCACCTTCACCTCCGCCTCCTCCATTTCCGGATGCACCCAAGAGCTGGCTGCCTCCCCTTCCCCTGCAGAGAGATGGTGCCTATCCTTCCTCAGGGGCCTGCTCTTTAGTCAGGTGGGTTTTCCCCCTGGAAGATCAGGGAGTGGCTGCTTTTCCTGGAGAGGCGGATCCCCGAGTCCATTCTGTCCTTGCACAGCGGAGGGGCCTGCTGCGCTCCCTGCCCATGTGTGGTCTGTACAGCAGGGACTCAGAAGGGCCCTTCAGCTGCTCTGCTGCCCCACGAGGTAACAACAGAGAGCTGGCCGAGCCTGCGGGGCTCCTGCCGGCATGAGGTGCTTCAGTGACACGGCCACCAACCTGGCCTGCCGGGCTCTCACGTCTGGATTGTCACCACCACAGCGAAGGAGGGAACCCAGCACCAGATGCAAGAGGCGCCCCCACTCTTGAGGAGCAGGTGGTGTGTGCCTTTCTGGGTGGGACCACGCTGGCCCGTGGGCTGGAGGATGCAGGGCCATCCCTCGAGCCCATGATGAGGGCATGGCCTGGCCTTTGGCGAGAGATGCCGTCAGCCGTGTGGCCCCGTTTGCCACATGCGCTTCACACCCTCATTCGACTCAAGAGGGACAGAGCACTCCCCTGGCTGGGAGAGAGGGACGCCGCCTGCCCCAGCGCCTGGCTTTCTCAGGGACCCAGACGATCATGCAAGAACCCATCATGGTCTGCCAGGTGGTGCTGAGGGTCTGGGAGGGGAGCAGGGTGAGGCTGTGAAGAGGGGCTTTAGCTCAGAGGAGGAGGTCGGGCCTCTAAGCAGGTGGCAGCTGAGGACAGGGTGGCAGGGGCCCTGCAAAGGGGCAGTGGGGCCAGGAAGGGTGGGGGAGGCTGGGGAGGAGCCTGCAAGAGCTGTGCCAGGGCAGGGGGTCATATGGCCGGGGGAGGAGCTAGTGGGCTGGGGGTGGACAGGTGCCCTGTCCTGTGAGTCCCTGGCCTTGATCCCGGCCACTGGTCCATGTGGAGCGCAGTCCTCGTGGGGGCGGTGATGCCGAGGGCTGGATGCTGTGGCTCCCCCCGCACTCCTGGCCCCCTCTCACTGGGCCTGGAGCTCCCACTCGTCAGTGTTCATGGCCCATGTGCCTCTTGCTGGCTCCCTGAGGCTGGGTTGGAGCCTGAGACCGCTCCGTAGCTGCCCACCCCAAAGGACTCCTTCTGCCCTGGGTGGGGTGGCCTGAGGGCTTGGGCCAGCCAGTGAGGACCCCATGCCTTCCTCCCCCTGCTGGCCTCGAGGTGGGTGTGATC